CGCCAAGGGCACCTACAATGCCTGCCCAGTGTCCCCTGCCTCTTCCACACCCCTAAAATTTTTTCTGGACTTTGGCAGCATACCCTGCAGCCTCCAGGCCTGGTTTACTCACTCACTCCACCTTCCCTTCTGCCTCTCTCTTCTCTTCCCTCCCTCCCTCCCTCTTCCTCTCTTTTTGTTTCTTTCAACTAACATTTATTGGCTACTGACAGTATGCCAAGCACTGTGTTAGGTAGCCCACAGGGACTCTAAAATGAGTAAGACTTGGTCCTGGCCCTGGAGAATCAGGGTCGTGGGAGACAGACATGTTAAATGCTTTAGTAGAGATCTCTATGAAGTGCCAGGGAACCTGGTTGCAAGCTCTATCAAGGATCATCAAAGAGGTAAGGTATGGGATGTGTGAACTTGAACAAATGCTTAAATCTCTTTAAATTTCCATTTCCCCATCTAGAAAAGGGAGGTTACCCTACTCATAGGCTTGCTGTGAGGATTTGATGACATCATGTAGGTCAAATGCCTAGCGCAGTGCTTGGCATCAAGAAATTGCTCAATATATGAGAGCTGTTGCTCTTGTTGATATCATTAACCTTGTGCATATTTCTTTTTTAAAACTATCGTTACTGATTTTTTTAGAGGGAAAGAGAGAAACATCGGTGTGAGAGCGAAACACCGATAGGCTGCCTCCTGCACCCCCCTACCTGGGACCCAACAGGTGACCTTTCAGTACATGGGACGACACCCAGCCAACTGAACCATGCCGGCCAAGCCTTGTGCATATTTCTTGAAATACAAGTCTGAGCTGAGCCTACAGACTCATGAAAGATGAGGAAGGGTGTGTGATGTGGCTGAATCAGGGATAGGCTGAGGTGGAAAGAGGGCAAACTGGGGATGTTCCATGTTCCATGGGCTTCATTGTGAGAGGCCTTGTAAGTCCTGATGAGGAGTTGGAGCTTGATCTGTTCAGTGAAGGAACATATGTTTTTCTTTCCTTTTTATTTATTTTTTTCTGAGTTGTAGTAAAATACACAACAAATTTTACCATCCTTTTTTCTTTTTTTTAACTTACCAACCTTAATCATTTTTAACTGGATAGTTCAGTGGCATTAAGTATATTCACAGTGTTGTGCAACCATTACCACCATCCATCTCCAGAACTATTTTTTTTTTTTCAAATTATAAGAGAAAGTTTATTTAGAAAGTTACAGAAGTAGTAGAAGTGAGCCAGCTGAGCTGTGTAGGCTCAGGAAACAAGTTATAGAGGCAGCAGAAGGGCCCTTGGAGCTTAGGAGAGGGAAAGGCGAAGGTAATGCATCTGGGGGAAGAAGAGAAGGAAGGGAAAGGCGTGGACTTGCTCCAGAGAGAGAGAGCTCACCTATCTCCAGAACCCTTTATTTTGAAAAATTGAAACTCTGTACCCATTAAATAATACTCCCATTTCCCTCTCCCCATATCTGTGTTTCAGAACTCTCTTCTTTCCTTGTTTCTGTCCCTGCAAGGACCCATGTGGTTGGGAAGCCAGACAGCTGAGTCCCTGGGATTGTGTGGACTTGGAGGGGGAGATTGACCAAGGGACACAGACTTCATGACTGGCTCTGGATATGGCAGAGGGTGTGTGGGCACTCTTATTCCCTTTCTGGAGATGCTGGAGGGAGGGCAGGGCTCCAGGAGGAGTTTGGACATTTGTAATGACTCTTTTCCCTGCCACCCCTTTCTCAGTGTTTTTCTCCTGTGAACACCAATGGGGCATTTAGTAGAGAGATAAAATACACACAAGAGTTTTCAGCCCAACTGCTCAAAACAAAAACCTAAGCATTAGCCTTGATTCCTCTCCTTCTGGCACCCCCATTGTTCATGTCACTGTATTTTCAAAGTAGATCTTGAACCCAGCCTCTTCTTTTCACCTGCAAACCTGCTAACCTGATCCAAGCCATCCATATTTTCCACCTGGACTGCTGCAAAACCTTCCTAACTGGTAGCCTTGCTTCTCATGGCAGTTTTCATTAAATTTACTCATGTCACTCTCCTGTTTAAAACACTAAAATTGCTTCTGTGATGGTTGGATTAAATTCCAAACTACTCTCTTTGGCCTACAAGGACCTGTATGACTTGGTCCCTGCTTACCTCTCGGGTCTCTTGCCTGATCAATCTTGCCTTCCCTCATTGAAGACCAGCCTTTGCATTTGCACTTCCCTTCTCCTGGAAAGCTCTCCCCTACATCACCCCATGGCTCCTTTGGGTCACTCAGGTATCACATTATAAGTCATCCCTGACCATCCAGGCACTCTCTGGCACATCACCCTGTTTTATTTTTTCTGCATAATATAAATGTTATTTTATTTTTTGCTTGTTTTAATTTTATTTTTTTAAGTTAATTTCTAGTGAAGTCATCACTTTTTTTTTTTTTTAATATATCTTTATTGATTTCAGAGGGAGGAGGGAGAGGGAAAGAGAGAGAGAAACATCAATGATGAGAGTCATTGATCAGCTGCTTCCTGCACACCCCCTGCTGGGGATCAAGCCTGCAACCCGGGCATGTGCCCTGACCGGGAATCAAACCTTGATCTCCTGGATCCTAGGTCGATGCTCAGCTGCTGAGCCACACCCGGCTGGATGCTTGTTTTTTACTGGAATGGGAGTCCCAAGAGCACAGAGACCAGACAGTGCCTGGTTCTAAGCAAATTCTCATTAGATATCCATTAAATGAATGAATGGGAGTTGGGATGGACTCTGAAGGATGGGTAGTCTTCCAGAATGAGGAGATGAAGTGGACAAAGGTGAGAAGTCAGGAGTAAGCATATCCTGTACTGGGAGTGACCAGCTCAACTCTATCAGAGGACTAGTTGGGGCCTAGTGGGAAAGGGACTGGGGACACAGACTGGATCTAGATTGTGGTGTACCCTGAAGGTTAAACTGAAGAAAGAAAACTCCATCCTGCAGGGTAACAGAAAGCCATTGAAGACCTTTGAGCTGAGGAGTAGCCTAATTAAAACATTGATGTGAGAGAGAAACATTGGTGAGTTACCTCCTGCACACACCCTGACCAGGAACCGAACTTGCAACCTGGGCATGTGCCCTGACTGGGAATTGAACCTCAATCTCCTGGATCATAGGTTGACACTCAACTGCTGAGCCATGCTGGCAGGGCAAACCCATGAACTTTTGATGTGCAGATGACGCTCAACCAACTGAACCACACCGGCCAGGGCATCTCTCTCTTTCTCTAAGATCAATCAATCAATAAAAGTTAAAAAAGAAGTGGTTGGCTAAATGAGGGAAGTAACATGACTGAGAAAGGATATGATAGGATGTCTTGATATCCATGTCTCATAGAAGGCCACTGCCTTCTTTCTGTTTTCAAAGCAAGTTCTGCTTTGAATGGAAAGTTCGGTCCCCCAGCTTTCAGCACTTCCACTTATTCAGGTGTAGACATAACACACTTACCTTGTACTCACTGAGTCTCCCTGAACTCTGATGCATGATGGGTGCACCGGAGTTCTGTGCTCATGGAGCATCATGAATGGCTTATTGTGTATATCGCCTCTGCTCACACTCATGCTCCACTGTTCCGTTGGACTTCCCTTACAAAGCACAAGTTCAAAGATAAAATTATGAAGAATTTCAAGATGGTGATAGCAGAACACTAAACTAAGCACAAGGTGATTCTGAGCATGGGTCTTGATTGAGTAGATCCCAAGTCCATGAAGCTGAGCCCTGGACTGGAGGGAGAGAGTTTGAGGGGGAGAGTGATAGTCAAAACAGGAGCTGTTGAGGACTAGAGCTAAGGATTTAGGATGAGAGTTGAAAGAAGAAAAATCTCTCCATGGAAAAGTGACAAGATTCGAGGAGAGAGAAAAAGAGATAATTATTCTTAACACAAGGTCTTTAGAGGCTCTTGTAGCCCCCAACTACACTGTGGGTCTCAGCCCTGTGAAAACTTCGATCTTACCTCTCCAGGGCTACATTGCACAAGGTCTCCAGTAGTTGGTAAGTAAATGTTTGTTGACTCAAGTGGGCATATGAGGAGGGGGTTAAGACTTGGGAGTGGGACCCTGGCCGGTTTTCTAAGTGGTTAGAGCTCAGCTTGTGGACTGAAGGGTCCCAGGTTTGATTCCAGCCAAGGGCACATGCAGGAGGCAACCAATCAATGTGTCTCTCTCACATCAACGTCTCTCTCTCTCCCTCCCTCTCTCTCCCTTCAACTCTCTCTGAAAAGCAATAGAAAAAAATATCCTCGGTGAGGATTAAAAAAAAAAAAAAAAAAGACATGGGGGTGGGAGGAGGCGGAACACCTAAGCAGACTGGCAGACCTGGGTCCAGGGCTGGAGTCTCAGGGTGATGCTTGGGGTTGGGACAGTGGTGTTGGGAGGGAATCACTGACAGATGTGGTGGGAAGCTCGGGGAAGCCCGGAGGCTTGGAGATAAACAGGTGGTGGGAGAAGGGGCTGCGGGGCTGGAAAAAGGAGGTGTTGGAGGCGACTGGTAGCAGCTCCCACAAGAGGAATTTCCCTCTGTTGTGGCCTCTGTCCATCTCTATGCGGCCTTTTCCAGCTTCCATGCTGCTGGTCTAGTACCCTGGCTGGTCTCTTTTATCTGTTTTTCTTGGTTTCTGGCTCCTTCTCTGTTCCTTTCACATTCTGCCCTGTGTGTCTCCTGGATTTAGTCTCTTTCTAACTCCCTGCCTGGGGCCCCCATCTCAAGCACGTATCTGCTTCCCTCTCAGCCTGTCTCTCTGGGGTTATCTTTCTCCATTTCCCGCCCTTATCCCCTCTGGCCACTCTGATGCAGTCCATACCTGGGGTGGCAGTAAGGGAGAGACCTCCTCCTCAAGAAGTGGCGGCAGGGGGCGGGCCCAATCATCTCTCCATATTTGCATATGTATGAGGTTGCCCGGGCCAGCGACAAGGAGGCGGGGCTTCTGGCGGTGGGAAGGGGGCGGGCAGCCCCATCGCGGCTGACTATAAAGACTGCGCTCCTGGACCGCGGGCCCGCACTGCTGAGGAGCGGAGCCTCGGGCTGGGATCTCCTATCCCAGGCTGACCCCAACTGCGCGTCCCCGCCTCACCTCGGTGGCCGAGCTACCACTGGTGTGGCGGTCTCTGCTTGGCGGAGGAGTCTTCAGCGGTCACGCGAACCCTCTCCACAGCCTCTTTGAATCTCGGATTTCGGGGCGGCCCCCTCCCCCACTTCTCTCTGTACCTCCTTGCACCCCAATTTGTTCTGCGTTTCTCTCAGGTTTTGCTGCCGTCTATTTTTGCATCCCTTTTCGTTTTGCTTCTAGGAGGTGGAGTGAAGCTGCACTCGTACCCCTTCCCCTTTTTATTCTCCCCTGCTCTGACACCCCCCCCCCTTTTCATCGCAGTCAGGGGGCCTAGGCTAATCTGTGCATCCCACGTCGCGTTGCCAGCAACCTGAAGCGCGTGGCCGTGCTCCCCGGAATTTGCAGCAGCTGCATATCTGAAGGGGGTCTCCCTCGCCCCTGCTGCCTTTGCTCCCGGAGCATTCCGGTGAGTGGGAGGGGGGCTACAGCGCACGGCATCCCAGCTTCTCCGTAGCCCCCCGACCCGCGAGGGACTCGTCCCCCGCCGCCAAGATGGTCACCCAAAAAGAGAAGAAGAGCTGCGGGCAGGTGGTTGAGGAGTGGAAGGAGTTCGTGTGGAACCCGCGGACGCACCAGTTCATGGGCCGCACCGGGACCAGCTGGGGTACGCGGGGCAGCCGCGCAAGGGGTGGGTGGGGGTCCTCTGGGCGACGCCCTGGGGACACGAGGTCCAGCCGGCGTATCCCCGGCTCCCTTCCCGGGTCCCCGGCGCCCGACCCCCCTGCCGTGCTCTGGGCTGGGAGGGGACCGAATCGCTTGTCTAATCTTCTTGGCTGGCGTTGCGGAGGCGGAGAAAGTAGGTCACTGCTGTCTTCCCGCCCCCCGCTGAGCCCCCTCGCGCGGGGGGTCGCGGGCTCTGCGCGCGTGTCCGCGCCCTGGTGCTCGCTCTCGGAGGCCCGTCCGCTCCATACAGTGGCCCTCCTTCCACAGAAGAATGCCCCTTCCCTCCCTGCAGCTCCCAACTAGCTAGCCAAGCCGTCTATTTTTAGTTCATGCCCACCCCCTGGACCCTGGGAACAAGCGTGAGAGGGCGGGTCCTGGAGAGGTGGGAGTGTGTGTGTGTGGGGTGTGTGTGTGTGTGTGTGTGTGTGTGTTTATTTTTCATAGCAGAAGTGGTCTATATCCCACCGTGGAGCGTTTGGAGCCATCTGTGGCTGCTCTGTGGGTGGGGGGCTGTCGGGGAGGAGTGTCACTGTGAGGTTTTTGAGGCTGGATGTTTGCCTCAGATGTCGCAGGAGGAGGGAGGATTGGTCACTAGTGGTGAGGTGTGGACATCATTTGGCCTAGTGTGGCTTTGGGGTTGGGGTGGCAGAACTCAGGGTGTGTGGAGGGAGTTGTGTCTGGTCTGGTGCTAGGCATGGGTGCTGGTGGAATTCTTCTAAAAGGGATAGTCAAGCTGGGAAGTCTAAGCACAGGGGACATTGCATGACACAATTTACAGTTCATCCACACTGATCAAAGGATGTCCCCATCAGCCCACCCACCTGGGGCCCTTCAGGTGGGTCCAGTGCAATCCTTGCCGGAAGGGAACTTGAAGTCCAGTGTCTGGGATTGGAGGGTCCATGAGTACTTGGGAGAATCTGAGGAGGCTTCATGGGGGAAGTGTCTTCTGAGGTGGAAGCACTGGGGATCCTCAGTGGTGGAAACAGCAGGTACTCATACTAGGCTGAGGAGTGACATAGTGCCATCTCATATCCACCGAAGACCTGCTCTCTGCTGGGAAGGCTGTGGGAGATTCTGCCTTTATTCCCCACCTCTGGCCTGGGTGTTGTGTGTGAGTTGGGGGTGGGGTGATTGTTGAAAGTTCTGGACAGCCGTCTCAGAGATTTTGTAGCTAGGTGGGAGCTGAGTTCAGGGTTTGGCTTCTTTGGGGCTCCAGGAGAGAGAAGATTTTGCTATTCCATCCCTCAGAGTGTGAGGGTCCGCACTCTGAGGGATGGGATAGAGTTTTGGTTGTGAACCGGTAGCCAGTGCCAGCTTGGAAAGTCGTGCCGTACAACTTTAAGCCCGAGTACCAACACGGCAGCAGCAGATGTGCTTTTTCAAGGCCATGAATGGTTGAGAAGTTGGGAATGTAATTTTAAGCAAGATGACTGCGGCCTGTACTTGGGGTTGTCTCAGCAACGAGAGTTTAGGTCTCTTGTGGCCTCCACAAGGTCAGGCTTCACTGTGCCCTAGGACCAGGAGGGGGCTGGGAGTCATGGCTGGCAGCCAGGCCCAGCTGCCTGTTTCCAGCTTGTCTCATTTTCCTCCCGCTGGGGAAGGCCCAAAGGTGTCCCTAAGGCTCTGTGCCCTGTCCCAGTGTGTGGCCTCTGAGTGAGAGAGGGATGTGTAGAGTAGGTGAGGTCATGACAGGAGAACCTGCTGACCCCATTTCTTCCTCCTTAGCCTTCATCCTCCTCTTCTACTTCGTCTTCTACGGCTTCCTCACAGCCATGTTCACCCTTACCATGTGGGTGATGCTGCAGACTGTCTCTGACCATACCCCCAAGTACCAGGACCGACTGGCCACACCAGGTAAGTGATGAGGCTCCCCTACCAGCCCTTGTGCCCCTAAGCCTCCAAAAGGAACTCGTAGGCTGAGAACTCAGAATTCTCAGAGGTGTGGTGCCGATGATCCAATCACCGTGTGCTAAGTTCTTGAAGTCCGCTTTCCTTTCCCATGTCCCACAGCTAAGAGCTGGGTGACCTGGGGATATCTTCCGCCCATAAAGAGGATCTTAGCTCTTTTATTTATTTTTTATTTTTAAAATATATCTTTATTGATTTCAGAGAGAGGAAGGGAGAGGGAGAGAGAGAGAGACAGAAACATTGATGACAGAGAGTCATCGATCGGCTGCTTCCTGCACTCCCCCAACTGGGGATCGAGTCCACTACCCAGGCATATGCCCTGACTGGGAATCGAACTGCAATCTCCTGGATCCTAGGCCAATGCTCAACCGCTGAGCCACGCCCGGCCGGGCAGGATCTTAGATCTTCATCCCATCCCTCGCCCTGGTGTTCCCTATATCCATCTTCTGTCCTTTGTGTGTGGTCTCACATCTTATATACATCCCCCACTCCTGTCCTTGTCTGGCTATAGGCTTGATGATTCGTCCCAAGACTGAGAACCTTGATGTCACTGTCAACGTCAGTGATACTGAAAGCTGGGACCAGCATGTTCAGAAGCTCAACAAGTTCTTGGAGCGTGAGTGTGGGGCTGGAGATGTGGTTGTGCAGGACCTTGGGCAGGGGATTAGAAACCCTAGAAGTGGAACATCAGGCCCGTGCTCTCTCTCCCCTACCTCCTTAGCTTACAATGACTCCATCCAAGCCCAAAAGAATGATGTCTGCCGCCCTGGGCGCTATTACGAACAGCCAGATAATGGAGTCCTCAACTACCCGAAACGTGCCTGCCAGTTCAACCGGACCCAGCTGGGTGACTGCTCTGGCATCGGGGACCCCACCCACTATGGTTATAGCACTGGGCAGCCCTGTGTCTTCATTAAGATGAACCGGGTAACCATGACCTTGGTCCCTAGGGAGAATGGAGGAGGGAGCTGGGGACACCATCTACTGAGAGTTCCTTCCTTTCACTGGGGCTAATGCGCATTAGATTTTTGGATGTTTGAGTGGCTGAGAGAACAGGATGGGGCCATTGGCGGCTGAGATCCATGGCCGGAAGCTAGATACTTGTGTCTTTGACAACTTCTTTCTCTAACTCTTACCACTCTCCTCACTCCAGGTCATCAACTTCTATGCAGGAGCAAACCAGAGCATGAATGTTACCTGTGTGGGGAAGGTGAGTTTTTTGGGCCTTGTGCACCTGCACATTTGTTTGTATACCACGGTTTCTGTGTAATTCACTCACCTCTTCCAATCTTCTTCGCTCCCAGAGGCTCCATCACTATAGGGACAAAGGGGTAAGAGGGGGCTCCAATATGGCTCAAACTCCAAGGGGCTCCTACCCCTCTTCCTTCTCTCTAGGATGCAGAAGCCACCTCTTGTGTGGATAGACACGCACCTCCCTGACTCCACCTAAGCCCTGGCCCCTGTCTTCTCTCAACCTTTCCACCTTCTATTCCCTTGATAACCTTGTCTTCTGCTCTCCCTCCCATATCTCACCTGACCCTCAGTTCTTTTTAGGTATCTGGTAGCTGCTGATCTGTTAGCACTATCTGCCACCACTAAGTTGTCCTTGGAACCCTACTCCCTCTACCTCTGTCCTGTCTAGAAACTTCCTGCCAGCTCTTCCCTCAGCCCCTCTCCTTGCTTTCTACTGAGCCTAACTCATTTATCTGTTCTCTCTTGGCTCTGCTCTAGAAACTGCTTTCCATGGATGGGGTAAGAACTTAAGGTGGGAGTGGAGTAGGAGGCTTCCATATCATTAGCACTCTTTAGAACTTCCCAGTCTATTGAGAGAGACAGGATACCTCCTCCTGCTCACACACAAGCACACACAGACTCACAGCTCGAGGGAAGCAGTTTTGAGACAAAATAATCTGGGGCAAAAACAAAACGAGAAGTCTGGCAAGCTTCCTGGTTCCTCCCATCCCTAACAAGCTCTCCTGTCTACCCTCCTGTGCCCCCACAGCGAGACGAAGACGCTGAGAATCTGGGCAGCTTTGTCATGTTCCCTGCCAATGGCAACATTGACCTCATGTACTTCCCCTACTATGGCAAAAAGTTCCACGTAAGTCCTGGGAGGGGGGCCTGGGGCTGCTGGCTCCTCAGGGAAGTGACGTTCTTGAGGAGGAGGCCAAGTTGCCATGGGCCTGGTCCCTCACTTTCCTCCTCTGGCCCAGGTGAACTACACACAGCCCCTGGTGGCTGTGAAGTTCCTGAACGTGACCCCTAATGTGGAGGTGAATGTGGAATGCCGGATCAACGCAGCCAACATCGCCACGGACGATGAACGAGACAAGTTTGCTGGCCGAGTGGCCTTTAAACTCCGCATCAACAAAACCTGAGACCCCCTTCCTCCCGCCCCCACCTCTTTCCTATGGATGCTTCTGGAATGTCCCTTTTCCTTTACTTCTAAACCCAGCCTGATTGATGTCCATTGTGATTCCCCACTTTCACACATTTTCCACTACCTTCTCCGACCCTAGCTCAGTCAGAGACAGGGAGATGGGATCCTGAGATGGTCATGGAGGAGCTGTTCTGGTTCTGGTTTAGCTGTGAGTGGGGTGTTCCCACAGCTACCCTCCTATCCCCTGAGAGATATAGAAAATGCCTCCCCACCTTCACACCCCCACCCACCTACACACACACACAAACACAGTCTCATCTCACCCCTTAGCTTCCAGACGGGAATGTGGCACTCCATTCTTCCGCTCCTCAGCACAGCCGCTGTCACCTTTCTCTATGTCCCACACTTTCTCCCTACTATACGCTGTTGCCATCTTGGTGGCTTTTGACTTATTTGGTTCCTCTGGTAGGTCTTTCTCCACCTGCTCTCCATTCCTATTCTCTTTTCAGGACAGGTGGCTCTGTAGTCTTCTCCCTGTTTGCTGGCACATGGCACTTCTCATCCTAAGGGGACTGTGAGCTGGGAGTGAGGGTCTGGAAGAGAGTCTATGCTGGTCTTTTTTTTTTTTTTAAATGTATCTTTATTGATTTCAGAGAGAGGAAGGGATAGAGAGAGAGAAAGAGAGAGAGATAGAAACACCAATGATGAGAGTCATTCATGGGCTGCCTCCTGCACACCCCCTACTGGGGATCCAGCCCGCAACCCGGGCATGTGCCCTGACAAGGAATTGAGCCCCATCACCTGGATCCTAGGTCAATGCTCAACTGCTGAGCAATGCCCAGCTGTGCTGTGCTGGTCTTTCTTGAAAATTCTCTTTCTGGTCTCTGTCACCCAAATAGGCACCCCTCAGAAGGGCAGGGTGGACCTAGGCTGAATATCCACTTTGCTTTTGCCTATGGCTCCCTTATTCCTGTCCGCTTTCCCAGAATATCCTTCAAGTCCCACTTCCCAGGAGCCCTGGGGGAGGGGCAGCCATTCTGGATGTGTCCCCAGTGGCCACCCTGGAAACGTCAGCAGGCTATGGGACTATTCCACCAACTTCCCCGGGCCCAGATCTGCCCCCACCATCCTCCTGCTGGCTTCTCTTAGCAGTTTATCAACTAATAGCTAACTCCTTCCTTTTCCTCCGCATTTTAGCCTGAAACTTGCAAATAACCCCTCAGTTTAGGCCCTGAATTTCCTGGCTCCATCTCCTTCAGATCCCTGTGCATTTTTAAACAACCCCCCAGTGTCCATAGAATTGTAAAAGAGGGACCTCCTGTATTCTTGAGTTACAGAGGCATGTTAACTTTCTCCTCCAGTGCCCTTCACTTCCTCACCTCTCTAATCTCCCTTTTCTTTTTTGATGCTGAAGCCTCCACACCCCACCCACAGATGGACCCTTCCCTTTTTCTCTTGTTGGATCTGTTTCTTCCCTTTGGGTCCCCATGTTCTCCTGCAGTCCCCTCATTCCAGTGGTCTCTCTCTGCAGTTATTTAATGCCCGTGTCAGATCTACTGTAAAAAGAGAATTAAGTACAATAAAATGAGAGCAATTATATATATAAATATATATCATACATGGAGCCCTGTGTACGGGTGGTTCCTTTCTGAACTTTTGGTAGAGCCCTGGGAAGGGGGTGGAGTGTAGATTTGGGTGATCCAGGGGTTACCCAGGCCTTGGGCAGCTCCTCAGATATGACCTCTGCTGTGCAGTATCTCAGCGTCTACCTCCTAGATCACTCCTTCACCTATATTATTTTGAGGTCAAGCAATACAAGAGACAGAAAGACTGTGTCCCTTTGTACAACCATACTTAGGAGGTGCCTACTCTGCATTCTAGGCACTGTGAGGACACTTATGAAAGAGGCAGAGTTCCTGCCCCAAGAAGCTCCCCAGGTTAATGGGAGAAGTGAGGAGCACACTAGAAACTCATTCCAGGTAGACCTAAACATGCCTCGGGGAAGGGGAGAAAGTTATTGAGGACAAAATTCAGAGTCGTCAATCACTTTCTGTTGGGGGCTTCTAATGGAAGGCTTCTTAGAGGATTAAAGCATGGAACAGTCTGGGGTGAGAATAGCATCAGCCAATGTCTAGAAAGATGAGAAAAATTGACTAGAAGACACATTAGGAACCTTATGATCTTAATTTCCTGTAAAGAACAGTACAAGCATAGAAAAAGGGATGGATGGGTCTATACAACAATGTTTATTGATGGGTTTATAGCTAATTTTTTCCTTGGGGCTTTTTCTCAATGACTTGGTCTTAGTATTTGCCTTAAAAAATAGCTTTATTACACATGCTTACATATATGCAATTTTATCCTGAATGCATAGTAGAAACAACATGGATCCCTGGGTTTTGGTCATTGTTATTTCAGAATCGAATCATATTATGCACTTTTGTGCATCTCACTTTTTTCACTCATTAAATTTGTCACTACTTCACTTGGTAGGGCTCTAATTGTTTTTAAATGGCAGCATAATATTTTTTCTATTAGTTCATTCTTCTCTTAATTTGTTAAAACTCCTCAACAGCCATAGATATTAACTGTTTTCTGCATTGTAAAATTCCCCCCCAACAGGCTGTTTGCCTCTTGAGTTTGTGGTTGCTTTTACTGTTCAAGTGTTGGATTTTCAGATTATTAAATATCAGTTCTTTTGTAGTTTCTGGGTTTCTAGTCACTAGAGTATACTCATTATTTTCTAGATTTTTTTGGGGGGGGACAGGATTTTAATTTTTTTTTCCTCTTTTTGTCAATCCTCACCTGAGGGTATTTTTTCCATTGATTTTTAGAGAGAGTGGAAGGGAGGGAGGGAGGGAGGGAGGGAGAGAGAGAAACATTGATGTGAGAGAGACACTTGGATTGGTTGCCTCTCACACAGGCTCCAACTGGGGTGGGGATGGAACCTGCAATCCAGGTACCGTGCCCTTGATTAGGAATCGAACCTGAGACCCTTCGATGTGCAGGCCTATGCTCTAACCACTGAGATACACCAGTCAGGGCAGGATTTTATTTTTTTTTTTAAATTTACATTCACTTTAATTCATCTGGTTTATTTTTGTTTCTTTTGTGTGTAAATTAGGAATCCAATTTTATTTTTCCAGTTGTGTCAGCTTCATTTTAAAAAACTGTAATTTATTCCCACTGAACTGAAAAACTAACTTTGGCCATATAATAAAATTTTCTATATACTGAGATCTATTTCTGGATTCACTGCTTGCTGCCATATATCAAGCTATATCAACCTAATTTCACTTTTTAAAAAAAATATCTAACAAGCAAATTCCTCCATTCTCTCTCTTTTTTAAAAAATAGATCTTTATTAAATTTCAGAGAGAGGAAGGGAAAGGGAGATGGAAACATCAGTGACGAGAGAGCCATTGATCTGCTGCCACCTGCACGCCCCCACTGGGGATTGAGCCTGCAACCCAACCAGGGCATTTGCCCTGACTGGGAATCAAACTGTGATCATAGGTCGATGCTCAATCCCTGAGCAACACCAACCGGGCTCCCCCATTTTCTTTTTAAAACAACTCTTGGCTATTCTTGGGAACTTTTTACAGAAACAAAATCTTGTTGGGGTTCTAATTGGAATTGCATTATATCTTTATTTGAGAATTGACTTTTAGGATATACTAAGTTTTCCCATCTAAGAACATGGTTATCTTTTGTTTGGAGCTTGGTTTTATGTCCTTAAATAGGCTTTATCAATTTCTTCATGTAGGTCCTGTGCCATACTTTTGTGTGCCAGTCTTGTTAAACTTATTCCTAAATATTTTATTGCTTTTGTTATTTTTAAACATTGTTTATTGATTTTAGAGACGAAACATTGATTTATTGTTCTACTTATTTATGTGTTCATTGGTTGATTCTTGTATGTGCCCTGCCTGACCAGGGATCAAACCCTCAACCTTGGCATATGGGGATGACACACTAACTGAGCTACCAGGCCAGAGCTGCTTTTGTTATTTTAAAGGTAATATTTATTCAGTGCTTTTGCTTTAAAAACCATTAATATTTCTCTATTGTCTACCTTCCTAAATTCTTTTAAAAAAATTAAAAAAAAATTGATTTCAGAGAGAGGGAGAGATAGAAACATCAATGATAAGTCATTGATCAGATGCCTCCTGCACGCCCCCCACTGGGGATCAAGTCCAAAACCTGGGCATGTGCCCTGACCACAGAATCGAACGGTGACCTCCTGGTTCATAGGTCGGCACTCAACCATGGAGCCCTGCTGGCCAGGCCCTTCCTAAATTCTCTTAATTCTATCACATCTGTATTATGTCTTGAAATTTTAGGCACATGTGATCTAAAAGGTAGATTCCTTTAAATCAGGTTACTTTCTTGAGTGTTCTAAAACAATTGTTAGTGGGCATCCCTGTTTAGTTCTTGATTCTAACTGAAATTATTTTAGTGTTTAACCATTAGGATACTTCCTGGTATTCCATTACTGTTTTTTAAAGAATGGCTGCTGAAATTTAATCAAATTCCTTTCAGCATCTGGTGATATGATCATGTTTTCTTCATTAGTTTGTTAATGCAATGAGTTATGTTGTATTCTCTATTAAACCAACCTTCTGCTCCTGGAATAAACCCTACTTGGTTAGTGTTAATATTCTTTTTTATTTTTTAAAAATGTATCTTTATTGATTTCAGAGAGAGAGGGAGAGAGAGATAGAAACACCAATGATGAGAGACAGTCATTGATTGGCTGCCTCCAGCACGCCCCTGACCAGGGATCGAGCCCACAGCCCAGGCATGTGCCCTGACTGGGAATTGAACCGAGATCTCCTGGATCATAGGTCGATGCTCAATCACCTGGTGGCTCCAATTCACATCTTTTTTTAAATTGAATTTATTGGGGTGACATTGGTTAATAAAATTATATAGGTTTCAGGTGTCCAATTCTACAGTATATCATTTATATATTGTATTGTGTTCACCAACCCAAGTAGGTCTCCTATCACCATTTATGCCCCTTTTACCCTCTTCTGCCTCCCCCCACTCTCTTTCCCTCTAGGTAATCACCATACTGTTGTCTGTGTCTATGAGTTTTGATATTTTTAAAAATCCCTTTACCCTTTTCACCCAGCCTCGCAACCTCCCTACCCTTAATATTCTTGACTCAATGTGTAGATACTATTTTGAGATATTGCGTCTATGTACTTTGGCTTGTTTTTTTAATATTAAAACTACTTTGCATGAATTGGAAATTTCCCTCTTTCCCTAAGGCCCAGGATAACTTATTTTTATAATTTACTTATTAAATATATCTTTATTAATTTCAGAGAGAGGAAGGAGGAGGGAGAGATGGAAACATCGATGGTGAATCAGATCGGCTGCCTCCTGCACGCCCCCTACTGGGGATTGAGCCCGCAACCTGGGGCATGTGCCCTGATGGGAAACTGAACTTCNATCAGATCGGCTGCCTCCTGCACGCCCCCTACTGGGGATCGAGCCCGCAACCTGGGGCATGTGCCCTGATGGGAAACTGAACTTCAGTCCCCTGGATCCTAGGTCAATGCTCAACCGCTGAGTCATGCTGGCGGGGCCCAGGATAATTTAAATTCTACTCATTGGACCATTTTGTTCTTGCTCTTCCTAACCCCCTCAATCAAGCGCTTGAGTTTTTCTTTTTAAAATTTATCTTTAAAAAAAAAAAATAAAAAAAAAATCCCTGCTTTTGGATTTATCTTTTGAATTAAGTTTGCTTAGATTCACATCTTTTTTATTTTTTTGTTAATCTTCACCCAAGGATATTTTTTCCATTGACTTTTTTAGAGAATGGAAGGGAGGGGATGAGATAGAGAGAAAAACATTGATGTGAGAGACACATTGATTGGTTGCCTCCCGCATATGCCCTAATCAAGGCTGGGGATTGAGCCTGCAGCCCAGGTACGTGCCCTTGACCAGGAATTGAACCCTCGACCCTTCAGCCCAAAGGCTGACCTCTAACCACTGAGCCAAACTGGCTAGGGCTCTTTTTTAAATAATGAAAGCATATGTGGTTATACGTTATCCTCAGAGCACTTTTGCTGGGTGTCTCATAGACTTGGGGACCCTGTGTTCCTGAAATTGCGGAAACAAGTTTCCTAACTTATTCCAAACCTCTATGGGACAGGGCTTGGGCTCTTGAGAGCAGGGGCCATGTCTGCCATGGGGCCCCAGGGCTTAAACAGTGATAGGCACAGACTGACTAGAAGGGTAGGTGAATGAACACAGTAAAGTGAGCAGATGGGACCAGAGAGGTTAGGGACTCATTAAAAGCCACACACAGCTCATAGCAGAGATGGCCTAAAAATTTACCTCATAGTTCTCAGTCTAGTAATCTGTCAGCTCACAAAGGGATCAGCAGAACCAGAATGGGTCTGCTTTTTAAAAATATATATATGTTTTTATTGATTTTAGAGAGAGGGAGAAGAAGAGAGAAACATGAATGTGAGAGAAACATCGATAGGTTGCCTCCCACACATGCCCTGACTGAGGTCCAAACTGCAACCTTGTTTGTGCCCTGACTGGGAATTGAACTGGCGACCTTTCAGTGCATGGGGTGGCACTCAACCAACTAAGCCACACCGGCCACAGCTGGATCTGCTTTCTGAAGTATAGCAGAAATGAAACAGAACTAGGGATACATCCTAGGGAAATATGAGTAATGGGACACTGATCAGAAGGGGAGCTTCAAGATGACTGTCTACAGCGGGGGTGGGGAACCTTTTTCTGCCAAGGGCCATTTGGATATTTATATCATTCACAGGCCATACAAAATTATCAACTTAAAAACTAGCTATGAAGAAAGCTCCATGATTTATTGAATTTTGAGTCCTGCCTATGGTTGCCTTTGCAAAGCCAGACAAATGATTTTGGGGGCCACGTAAGGCCTGTGGGCCAGATGTTCCCCACCCCTGTTCTACAGAAATGATAAGGAATGAGTTGGCATGCATTTGCCAAGGGCCTGGTATGTGGGAGAGATGGTGATTCTGGGTCTCCTGGGAAGTGTTTGGCATCCCTCAACAATTAAGAGAAAAATGGTGGTTTTGAGGCCATGGTAGCCAGTGGCTTTTCAGCCATGTGGGATCCACAGGGCAAGCCAAAGGACTACCACTGGCACTTTAAGCCCAGTTGGTAGGCTGAGAGGACAACGGCCCAGAAACCCCTCCAGATCTTAGCACGTCTCCCTCCACCCCCAGGGAGAAGGCAGGACAAGCTGTGTCCCCACTGTCTGGCCACCCCCGAAGCACTGGCTTGGGCAGCAGAGCTTGCCCCCAGCCCCCCTCCCTGGGAGCCTACAGCACTGAGGAACGGGAAGGGATGGGGGGGGACTAAGCTCTCCACCCTAACCCAAGAAGCCCTTTGAAAGGTTTTCCTGGCAGAGTTTAAAGCTTCAATTCATTCAATTGCCTGGCAAGAGGCCCAGGATGAGGGGATGCTGGGAAGGCCCCAGCCCCACATCCCAGCCTTCACCTTAGCCGCCCCCATTTCCTGGGGACCCGGGCTGGCAGGCCTCCCCTGCTTGCTCTCTTCATCCAATAGCACCCACCCTCTTTCCTCTCGGGAACTCAGGTATCCTGCCCCTTTCCTGTGGAGCAGATGGCTACCCCAGAGGCTCCAGCTTGCTAAATCAGACATTTAAATCCCATAATCCTTGGTGAGTGGTTGACAAGGGGGCAGGAGCCCAATCCTAGAAGCAGGGGCAGAAAAACCTTGTGCCAGCCCTGGAGGAAGGGAGGAGGGACAGAGTCATGGACTCAACCCTCCCTTGTTGTCATGCAGCCTGCAGACTGACCCAGTCTCCAGCTTTTGTTCTCCTCCTGAAGCCCGGGTGTGGAGGCTCCCCAGCCCACATTCCCTGGAGACTCAGGTGGCTGCTTCCCAATGTCACCTCCTTAACTACCCCCGTACTGGAGGCCCCAGGCAGCTAGCTAGCACTGGTACTCACCCTCAGACACACAGGTGCTAATAGAGTTTTATTGTAAAATAAGAAAACAATATAAAAAAATGTGGTATAAAAGGGGAAGAGAGGGGTGCGGGTCAGGAATACAGATGTGCCTTACAGATTGTAGAAGAAACGGATCTTGGAAGAGATGAAATCTTCCAGGGTATGGGATCGGGTGAGATTTCTTAGTGAGGTTCACCAAGATGATAGACAGGATTTGGCCAGACCAGCAGAGAAGGGACTTAGAAATTCCCTCCTCTTAACCAGCTGCCCAGTCCACCAATGGGTGTTTGAGGCACACCTGAACCAAGCAGAGGTTGAAGATCCTAAGCCCCCAAAAATGCCAGGGAAGGGGAACAAGGGTGGGGGTATCACTGGGGGACAGGAAGCAGGAGATGTCAGTCTGAGTCAGGTCCCTCTCTCTTGAGCATGGGTTTTTTATGGCGGGAGGTAGATTGTCCCTTTTTAGACTTCAGGTGGCTGTGGAGATAGAAAAGGGAGGGAAGGAGATGACATCATGAGTGAGAGGCTCAGGGTCCCTCTTCTTAAATCTAGGCTTTGAAGGGCCTAAGGCTGGAGCAAGGGGAAATTTAAGTTGAAAGAGCGGCCATCAACTGCAGACATGTTTACTGAGCACCTGGGGTACTTATGTGCATTAAACTCCTAACCTTCCCTTATCTCATTTGACAAATGAGGAAACTGAGCTTGAGGGGGGCAGTAACAAGGCCACGCAGGACTTGTTAGTACTCAGCAGGGCTGAAGATCTGACCCCAAATCACAGCTCTGCCTGGCACTTGCACACAGTTACCAAGTCCCTAATGGAGACCCTAGCTTTGAGACAGAGATTGCTAGAAATGGCAAAGAAATATCCATGCTCGTATCTAGGCTTGAGGGGTTTGTGGACTGCTCCCCCTGACCTGAGGCAGAAAAGTGGTTGTGTGGTTCAACTAGAGAAGACTAAAATAAAGAATGTTCGGGCAGAGCCAGGACCCAATGGGAGGAATTCAGTTGCCTTTTACCTTGAAGGCAGGATTTCAATGGAATCAGACCTTCCAACATAGCAGTGGAGGGGAGTGAGCCGGGAGGGGACCCAGGTAACTCACCTGGAGTGAGTCTTGCTTCCCCCTGGGTCCTTTCCAGCCTGGGCATCCTTTAGCTCTAAGGCTTCATTCAATTCTCGGAACATCTCAAAGCGCTCCCGCCCACGGATCTGTGGCAGGAGGGAAGAGGGGGGAATGAAGTATTAGGCAAAATCACAGAACCATTTTCATGCCCTCTTTAACAAATTTTCTTCTGAAAGATGATCCTTTAAAATGTAGGTTACGGCCCAGCTGGGTGTGGCTCAGTGGCTGAGCACTGACCTATGAACCAGGAGGTCACAGTTTGATTCCCGGTCAGGGAACATGCTCGGGTTTTGGGCTCGAACCCCAGTGGGGGTGTGCAGGAGGCAGCCAATCGATGATGTTTCTTTCTCATTGATATTTCTTTCTATCTCTTTCCCTTCCTCTCTCTCTCAAAATCAATAAAAAGATATTTTAAAAAATGTAGATTATGGTATAAGCTGGCATTCTGAACTCAGGCACAACCAGGAGCCCTTGTCTCTAGGCACCACTGCCCCTGATGGCAAATGCCCTAATTGCAGGGAAAGCAACCAGGAAGAAAATACCATTTTGAGTGCTAGATTTGAAACTTAATCTTTTTTTTTTTTTAGTGGCTTAAAAAAATACACTTTTATTATCTTACAGTTCTGTATGTCAGGAATCTAATATAGATCTCAGAGGGCTAAAATCTACATTGTAGTAGGCTGCATTCTTTTGGAGGCTCTAAGGGAGAACCCATTTCCTTGCCCATCATTCAGATTATTGGCAGAATTCAATTCCCCGTAGTTGTCATTTTCTTGCAGGAGAGGGCTGTAGCCAGCTTCTAGAGGGCATTCATGTTCCTTGACTAGTAGGGAAGGGAAACTGTTACGTTTACTAAAACTCTTAGGGTTCTTTTTGGCTAGGCCTTAAATAAAGTTCCCTTTCCTCCAACTAATCATTCAGTGCACATGTTGAGCCTGAACAAAGGTGCCAGATACTTTGCTAGATGCTGGAGCTGCAGATATGACTCACATGTGGGTCTTTGCCTTCAAAGTTGGAAGCAACTTCATTCCAGGCTCATTATGTTTCTACTAGACATATCCATATGTTCAACCTGAAACTTAATCTCAAGAATGTGGGCCATAGCCAGAGGAAAGGACAGATGGGATCTGGCCTAACCTTACACCTGCTACATTTACATTTTTTATACCTTTATCCAATCCCACTAAGTAGGGGCAAGAGACTGCCTATCTTCCTCTCCCAGAATTGGTACCTGAAGGGTGAAATATTCTTCATCCATTGGCATCTTTGGCGGGTGAGAGGAGTCAGTGTTGGTGGACAGTGCTGGGAAAGAGGTAAGGAATGGTGAGAAGAGTGAATCTGGGGCAGAATTGTACCTTTTCTGACTCTTCCACTTCCTTTTGCCCTACTTGCTTACCTCGCTTAGTGCTCCCAGGGGGCTGCTTGGGACAAGGCTCCTCCTTCTTGCGGAAATTTTCTTCCTCTGTGCGCCGGTCTCTCCCGGGACAGGCGCAAATACGCACTTCAAAGCTGTTTCGTCCCAGCAGATTACCACTACCCAGGTAAGTAGAGGGAAGCAGGAGGCAATAAGAAGGTGGACACTATTTGTAAACCAGGTCCCAACCACCATCACCCTATGTGGAGCCTAAGATCCAAGTTCAGGCATATGGAGAAGCCACAGGTTAGAGCGGTTGCAAATCCAGAGAAAAGAAGACTGGGAGGGAGTAACAAAGGAGGTTCTACGTACAGGGATGGGAGAGGGAAGGACGGCTGGTAGTACTAGAGGCAATGGTTGAGGGGGAGGGCCCAGGGGACAGAGAGAAGACAGAGGCTATGGAAGGTGGTATGGATTCCCTACTTGGAGTCTTCCAGTGTGATGATGGTGAGGATGGGCCGCCGGTTCATGCCTCCCATGCAGGAGCTGTTACACATGAAGTTGTAGTGGACGGTGGTGCAGTCAGAGCCCACCTGGGAGAAAACAGAGGCCCAAAGTGAGGCTGCCCAGCCCTGAAGCCTGTAGCCTCTGTAAGCTGCAGTTCCACAACTGTGGACGGGCAATAACCCACCTGCTGCTCTGCACACATCTGGGTAGCCACTGGCAAACCCCTCTAGCCCCCTCCTCCCAGAGACCCCAGTTGCCAAACCAGACCTCGGGCGGCTTATAGGGCACCACCACACTATGTCGAAAAGTGATTTTGTCGTCCAAATACTCGGCACCCGAATTCCCTTCCACCCGGATAAGATGCTGAGGAGGGGCCAGACCTAGGAGCAATTAAGGAAGAATCAGCCACTTGGGGACTCTGGGCCACAGCCCCGTCTCATCTGCAGGCCCCAACTGCTCACCATCACTATAGTCAGAGCAGCGCTCATGGTGGGGGCAGCGCCTCACAACCTCTGTCATGTACTCAGACTTCTTATAGATGGCCATGGCACGGACACGGGTGTCGAGCGGGGGTGGGGAGCTGACCCACAGCTGCACAGGACAGGTCTTTGCCAGCTGGCAAAACAGCTTGTTGAGGGTAGGGGAGTACTGTAGGTAAAGAAGGAGAAAGAATGAATGGAAGGTCAGGGGACAAGTACCCAGGGGTGAAATGAACAAGCATTGCTTAAGCACAACTGAAAGCCATGTGCTGTGTGGGGAGGGTAGCCAGAGATAGCAGAGTTGGGGATCTACATCCTAGAGCTTATTTACAAAAGCTAAGGAAAGAAAGAGAGTGAAGAAAAAGGGGAAGTTCCATGGCCCCACGACAGATGCTGAGAGTATGATGTGAAGAAAAGTCCAAGGTCAAGGGGGAAAATTCAACTTTGGGACAGAGGTCAAAGGTCAAAGACTAAATAGGTAGAATGTAGAAAGACAAGCCAAAGGCTGAGAGAAATCCCAGTGTTCTGGGATAGAAAAACCCAGGGGGATATGATCAGGCATTGAAGTATCACATGAAAGCCAGCCTCCCAGGGCTACTGACCGTGCAGGTTACAGATTTGGCTGTCCCAGAATTCAGGAATCCTAAACGGAAACCATAGGTACCAGGGTAGGTCTTCTGGGAAGGGACAAAGGATGACAGGGGCCAGGAGGTGCCTGGTGCTAGGGGAGCAGCTGCTGGTGCAGGAGTTGCTGGTATACTGGAAGCTTCATTTGGATCTTTGTCCAGACAGTTTACAAGGTCTGGGGACAGCAGCAGTTCATTCACTGTCGGGGAGACTTCGGGGGTCTGTGAATGAGAGAAACAGGAGCCAGACGGCTAGGTTCCCAGGCTGTTGGCCCTGCAGCCCCCCAGTCCCTTCCCACCCCTGTCCTTACCAGAACATTGTTTTCATGAAGTCTGAAAGACAAAAGCAGAAAGTCAGTACTGGTTCTTGCTTTCTACAGGCCTCTACTACCAAAGCCTTGGGGAATGGGGTGGGGTAGGCAGGGTGGGGCAGTCGTTATTAGAGGCTGGGCAGTGAACCCGCCCCTCCCAAGAGACTTCCACTCACAGATTCCACAAGTCTGAAAATGTCTCCTGACTCAGAGGGGGATCCATGAGTTCTGACGGTGGCCCATCCATTGCAGCTCCCTGGCAGGCAGTGTGGCTGCTGTGGGGGGAGGAAAAATGAGGATCTAGCATGAAACACACCCAACACCGGATTTCCCAGCCCAGGGCAGGAGAAACTCCTCCACCAATACCATACCGGAGCCTGAGACACAGGAGTCCCCTGACTTCCTGAGGAGCAAGGCTGCTCCTTCACAACTTCTCTCTTCAAATCTCTTATCACAACCCAGGCTGCTCCTTGCCCTACCTCTCACCAGCCTTATATACTATATGCTTCCTTGAGAAAAAAGAAAGCCAGAGAGGGACTTCCAATCTTTCCACCAATGAATCCACACGCCTTCCTGAAAAGTGTACCTTACTTCTGCCTTCCTTCCTGAAAAAGGTGCAGTAACTCTCAGCCCCCTCCCTCCATCTGGGGCAAGACACCTGCCTTGATCCCCTTCAGCGCAGTTTCCCTAAGAGCTGCTTGTATGCTTACCCCTGGCTTACAAATCCCTCATCTCTGATCTCATCTCCTAGCACTCTCTCCCACCCCTGATGCTCGAGCTACACTGGCTGCCCTTCTCTGCTCTTCAGACTCTCCCCAGTTCACCTAACTGTTGGTTCCCTCTACTGGGAACACTGGTCCTGCCACCACTGCCGGGTGGGCTCCTTCTCAGAACTCAAACTCACCTCCTCAGGAGTGTTTCCCCAGACCACTCAAAGACTGATGGCCAAACTGTCACCCTATGTTAATGCTCATGGTACTTATACTGTCTGACACCTTTCCTTGTTCATTTCATCTGTTTTCCCTAAACTTTCTCAGGACAGGGAAGTTATTTACCTTGTTCATCATAGTATTAGCATAATACCTTGCATCTGGTTGGGCTCACTAACTGGCAAATAAGTGCATCACTGTGCCCAGCTTGTGAGCAGGTTATGAGCTGTCAAAGGAACGAGAGCAGAGGGGTGGCCACAGTGTGCACCAGGACCCTGCACTAAACTCTGTTGCTGTTAGCTCACCTCCCAGGCAATCATCTTTCTTGAGGCCAAATTTGTCATCAGGTTTTCTAGGAAACACACCCACTGCAAATTACACTTTTCTGTCTTGCAGGGCCACTGACAAATACCGGCCCCCTCCACCCCAGCTAGCTCATTATTGTGGGTTGTTTTCTAATCCCCCTTAACATCTACCTCTACTTTTACATTCATATGGGTAATTAGTTTGCAAAGTCCTTTCAAGCTTATCTTATCTGTCCTGATAACCACACCTTTCACTTGACAAGTCTCAAAGAGGTTAAGTGACTCAGCCCACAGTACACACAGGTCAGCAAATGAGCTTTTATTAAACATCTAGGAGTAAGATGCTTACTTCATCACAAGACTACTCTTCAGGTGCAGATTTTAGGTAACAAAAACCGTCCAACTGAGAGGCTGGCAAAGGACCACTTGTCAGAACTCCCAACACTGAGAGGGGGATGACCTGCCTACATCATGCACAGAGGAAGGCAAGAGGGGGTGGAAAAGGAGTCATCCCAATTGCGTGGGGGCAGGAGAAGCACCAGGGTGTCCCCTCAACTGATGATCAAAAAAACTTTAAGACTTTTATGGAAGAGGGCTCATAAGTCAAAAACCCTAGGCTTAATGTTTTATTGTTAACTCAAAATTTTTTTTAAATACCTATCTTTAAAAAAAAAAATTATTTTAGAGTGAGAGAGAGAGGGAGGACAAAACATTGATTTGTTGTCTCACTTACTTACGCATTCATTGGTTGATTCTTGAATATGCCCTGGCTGGGGATCGAACCTCCAACCTTGGTGTATTGGGATGCCGTACCAACCGAGTATCTGGCCAAGGCCGCCACCTATCTTAAAGGGCTAACTTTTTGACTTCATGCACAGAAGCTACCCAGGGGCTGGGAAACATGGGCACTTGTAGCAGAGCAAGGGCCCTGGAGGCAGACAGGCTAGCACTCCAGCCTCAGCACCTAATAGCTGCTTAACCTTTCTGTGCCTTAGTGTTCTCTGTTCTAAAATAGCAGTAGTTTAGCCCGGCTGGCGTGGCTCAGCGACTGAGCATCGACCTATGATCCAGGAGATCGCGGTTCAATTCCCAGTCAGGGCAGATGCCCAGGTTGGGTTGCAGGCTCGATCCCCTGTGGGGACGTGCAGGAGGCAGCCGATCAATGACTCTCTCATCATTGATAATTCTATCTCTCTCCCTCTCCCTTCCTTTCTAGGAAATCAATAAAGCCACATTTTAAAAAATAAAATAAAATAGTAGCAGACTAGCCCTAGCTGGTTTGGTTCAGTGGTTAGAGTGTCAGCCTGAAGGGTCCCAGGTCCGATTCTGGCCAAGGGCATGTACCTCGGTTGTAGGCTTGATCCCCGGCCCTGGTCAGGCCAGGGCTCGTGTGGTAGGGCAACCAGTTGATGTGTCCCTCTCACATGGATGTTTCTCTCTCTCTCTCTGCAAAGCAATGGAAAAAATATCCTCGGGTGAGGATTTAGAAATAAATAAATAAAATAGTAGTAGTCTACTTATTATGGCAAATGTAGAGCTGAGAAAAGTGCCTGGCACATAGTAAGAGCTTAACAAATGTTTCTGTTTATGATGTTCCATTTTATTTGTTCTATATTATTCTGGAGTGAGAACTTTGTGATTGTGAGTCGGTGGGGCTTTTGTGGTACTGCCCCATTAATGCTGATTCACCTCCTTCAGGGAACTCTGTTCAGTAAACATGCCAGAGGGGCTGTCCTGGGATAGTGGGCCCAAAGGTGTTATTAGTCCCACTGGGTGGGAAACAGCCCCCAAGGATATAGGAGTTCTACCTCTCAGTTCTTGGTGGCAACTAAATTCTCAATGCTTCTTAAAAAAGCAGGCAGTCATCACTAGGAAACCTTTTGAGTGGGTACTTCCCATGGGTACTTCCCATGGGAGGCCAGGATACTAAAATTGTTAGGAGCTGAACGAGACCTTCCAAAGTTTGGGGAGGCAGGATGTTTACACAAGCAGTCCCAGTGGGAAGGCGATTAACTCAGTGGGACTGCAAGAAGGGGCAGGTCAGACAACTATCAAAACAATGGCTGCTGCTCATAGGCCCAATGCTTTCAGTGGCTTATCCCTTTAATCCTCTCAAAAAGCCAGGAAGGTAGTAGCACTATCATCAGCTGAGGGAACTAAGGTTACAGGAATTAAGTCCCTCAGCCAAACTCAGAAAGCTCCCAAGGGGTAGGACAAGGGACTTGAACCTACACCCAAGCTCTAAATAATTATGTTCCGAAGGCTTCATCCAGAGTCTGGTGTAAAAACTTTTTTTTGTGTGGGTGAAAGCTATTTATAATTGATTGGAAAACAATTGATTCTGAAAGTAATAAGGCAGTGTCCGGTAAAAACACACACACTTTACTACTTAGCAAGACCACTTCTAAGTAGACTCCTAAGAAAATGGTTGCATGGGGGCAGCAGGAGTCTTGCACAAAAATATTCATGTCAGTGCTGTTCCTAATGGCAGGAGACAAGAAACATTACTATCCATCAATAGGGAATGGCTAAATTATAATTTTTTAGTCCTCACTGGAGGATATGTGGTTTGGTTTTATAAATTCATTTTAGAGAGGGAGAGAGAAACATCGACCCATTGCCTCCTGTACAGGCCCCAACAGGGGATCAAACCTGAAACATAGGTATGTGCCCTGACTGGGAATCAAACTTACAATCTTTTGGCTTATGGGACGACACTCCAACTAACTAAGCCACCCAGCCAGGGTGGGAATGGCTAAATTAAATGTGGTATATACTCACAAGTGGGATTTAGTACAGAAGTTTAAGGAAAGGAATTTATCTGTATGTGTAACCTGATATAGCTCAGGAACATGTTGAGAAAAATACAATTTGCTAGAAAAAAGCAAAATACGGTAATATAAGTAGTTTATGTAAATTAAAAATACAAAAAACTATTTATTGCTCAAAAACATATGTATGTAAAAGCATGAAAGACAAGCAAGAATAAAAATCCACAAAACTATGATGATGGTCTCAGAGAGGGAATATGCATGCTCATGGGGCTGGGGGCTTTAGCTTTATTAACAAAGAAAAATGAAGGAATAGGAGTGTTGTTATTCTTGTACTTGTCTGCATTTTTCCAAAATAAAAAAATCTAAAAAATAAGAGTAGCCTAGCCGGCGTGGCTCAGCTGTTGAGCATTGGTCTATGATCCAGATCTTGGTTTGATTCCCTGTCAGGGCACATGCCCGGGTTGCCAGCTCCATCCCCGGTAGGGGTCGTGCAGGAGCGAGCCGATCAATGACTCATCATTGATGTTCCTCTCTCTCTCCCTTCCTCTTTCTGAAATAGACATAAAAAAAGGAAAAAGAACCTCTTCCCCACAGATACACTTTGGGGCCTTTGTAGAAAATCATTTGACTACACTTATGTGTCTTTCCCTGGACTGTATTCTGTTCACTGGTTGTTACCCTATTGTAGCTTTACAGTTACCTTTAACTTTGTACTACTCTTTTATTTTGGAATCAGCTTGTGAATTTCTACAAAAAAGCCAGCTAGGATTTTGACTGGGCTTGAATTAAATAATTCTGGAGACTATCAACACCATCGAGTGTTCCAACCCATGAATGTAGTACCTCTTTTCATTATTTAAATCTTCCTTAAAGTCTCAGCAATATTTTTTAGTTTATAATATAGAGCTCTTGTTCATCTGTTAAATTACCCCAGAATATACCATGTTTTGGATGCCATTTTAAAATTCATTTTCCGAGCTCAGGTTCAATGGTTGCTCTTATACAAAAAAAAAAAAAAAAATTATGTAGATTGCCTTTGAACCTTATGACCTTGCTATAACCACTTATTGGTTGATAGTTTTAAAATCAATTTTCTATTAAGATTTTTGTGTACACAATCATACCAGCTGTGAATAAAAGTTTTATTTCTTCCTTTCCAATCATAATGTTTTTCTTTTTCTTACCTGGTTAAGACCTTCAGTATAATGCTGAAGTGGTGAGAGTGGAATCCTTTTCTAGTTCCTGATCTTAGAGGAAAAGCATTCAGCCTGTCACTATTATGCACATTGCTAATGGTAACTTGATCGGGGGTGGCCTTTATCAGACTGAGGAAGTTTCCTGTTCCTAGTTTGCTGGGAGGTTGGTTTTTCTTTAAAAAATAAAATAAAAATCATGAATAGCTGTTGCATATTGTCATCTGCTTTTTATGCATCGGTTGAAATGATCAGAGAATTTTTTTTAAAGAATAGTTTATTGATTTTTAAAGAGAGAGGAAGCGAGAGAAACATTAACTTGAGAGCGCAATATCAGTTGGCAACCTCCTTCACACTCTGACTGGGGATTGAGCCCACAACTCAGGCATGTGACCTGATGGGAATCTGAACCGGCAACCTTACAGTGCACCGGATGGCGCCCAACCAACTGAGCCACACCAGCCAGGGCAATCATAGGATTTTTAATCCATTAATCTGTTAATGTGGCAAATTATACCAATTTTTGAATGTTAAAATCAACACTGCAGTCAGGGATAAACTCCACTTGGTCATTTTTATATATTACCAGATTTGATTTGCTAAAATTTTAAAGATTTTGTTCATATATGCTAACAGGAATATTGGTCTAATTTTCTTTCTTGTAACAGCCTTGGTCTGGTTTTGATATTAGGATTATACTGGTTGGGCAATGTTACCACCTCTCTATTTTGAAAGAGAAAGGTATTGTTTCTTCCTCAAATGTGTGAAGAGAATGAAGGGAACCAAAGTTTTGCCACCCTGAAGCTGCCTTTTTTTGGATATTGATTTTAAACTATTTATTAACAAAAGACTCAGAAAGAACCTCTGACCCTACCCCCTTTCCTGCCCAGGAGATTCAGACAGAAAAACCAGCTTCAGGAAGGAGATCTTAGGATGTTCTTCTTGGCCTAATATGAATTAAGTATGGTAAATAAGAGGGCTTCAGGAAGGGGCCTATTAGCTAGATACTCGCTGTGTACCATTACTTCTGAGTTGCCTAGTAGGAACAACCTTGCTGCATGTTGTTTCATGTAGGTTCCACTCTTCCGGAATTGCCCATCCTCACTTATGAAATCTAATGCCCTGCCCCCTTTCCCCCAAATTTTTTTATGAGAATTCCCTATGCATATGTGTTAAAGCTTGTTTCCCTTGTTAATCTGTCTGTTAATTTAATTATTAGCCCAGCTAGAACTAGAAGGTGGGAGGAAAGGTATTAATTGGGGGTGGGGGGGAAGCTTAAAACAACAGAACTTTATTGTCTCATTGTTCTGGAGGCCGGAAGCCCATAATCAAGGTGTTGGCAGAGCTGTTTCCTTCCGGAGGCTCTAGGGAGAATGTGTTCGATGCCTCTCTCCTAATTGCTGGTGGTTTCCGACAATCCTTGGTGTTCCTTGACTTGTAGATGCATCACTCCCACCTCTGTCTCCATCATCACATGGCCTTCTCCCTGTGTGTGTCTGAGGTATTAATATTTTTTTAGGCCCCACCAAGAACAAAGGAGACAGAAAAAAGCACTAAGATAGCTGACTTAAACCCAAACCTCACAATAATTGCATTAAATGTAAATGGACCTAGCACTCCAATTTTAAAAGTAGTTCATTGGGGAAAGGAAGGCTATTGCAACAAGTAGAGCTAGAACAAATGGATATCCACATAGAAAAAATAAAATAAAACAGAACCTTGACCTCCTACCTTACTTACATCATGAAAAATTATTAGTTGATTAACTATGGCTCATTTACCTGAGGGTACAACCCAAAACGATAAAGGTTATAGAAGACAATGTACAAGAATATCTTTTATAACCTCGAGGTAAGATTTCCTAAACAGGTAATAGCAAACACTTAAAAAGATGAATCTTCTTCTCTAGGCAAGTACTAGGTCAGTAGAAAACATATGTATCAGCCCTGGTTGGGTAGCGCAGTTGGTTAGAATGTCATCCCAATACACCAAGGTTGTGGGTTCGATCCCTGGTCAGGGCACATACAGGAACCAACCAATGAATGCATAAATAAATGTTTCTCTCCCTCCAAAATCAATGAGTTAAAAAAAAGAAAAAAAACAAACCAAAAAAACCCTCCTATTGTATCAGGCAAAAGAGATCCATATCCAAAATATATAAAATATTACGAATCAACAATTTAAAAAAAGAGAGCAAACAAACCAATTTTAAAAATGGGGAAAAGACTTGAAGAGCCCCTTCACATGACATAGGAATGGCCAATAAGCTCATGAAAACTGTTGTTAATGCTACAACCACTTAGTTAAAAAAGTACAGATTTGGTCTCTATTCTCTTGACCTGGCAATTTCAACCCTAAGTATTTAACCAAGAAACATCAAAACCTACAACCAGAAAAAGAATTAACCAAGAATGTTAATAGCAGCTTTATTCAAAATAACCCCAACCACGAAACAAATCAAAAGGCCATCAAAATGAGAACACACAACCCAATGTAATATACTAGATAATAAATGTTAAAATACTGATACACCACCGATACATGCAATAACATGAATTGCACAGAAATCATGCTTAAAAAAAAGAAGCCTGACACAAAGGAGCACGTACAGTATGACCCCATTTATATTAAGTCCTCTAAACAGAAATAAAAATAAAGGTGGGGGTCAGAGACACACTGGGAAGAGGCATGAGAAACTTTTCTGGGGTGATGAACACGTTCTATACTGAAAGGCATTATACGGTGGTTAGTTGCCCAAACTCGTCTAATGGCAGTGGGTGTAAACGCTGACCTCAATTTATTAAAAAAGTATGTTCAGTGCCGCGCAGTGCCTGGCTTTTAGCAGGTGCGTGATAAGTGCCTGCCGCATTGGATGACGGCGCCCTAAGTGACCAAGACGCGGGAGACATGGTTAAGCGGGGTACTTGGCGCGGGGTCCCGGCCCTCGCAAGCAACTGGCTAAGGCGGTCGGGCTGCAGCTAGGCCCGCCCCTTCCGCTTTCGCGACGTTCGCTCTGCGTTCGAAGTCGGAATGGCTTAGCCCAAAGCCGGATACAAGAGTTGTTTCTCCGCCGCAAACGACTCTTAGTTACACTCTTTCATCGTTTGAGTCTCAAACGTACTCATTTCCGAAAACACCCAGGGTTTGCCTTGTGCACTTAAAAAACAAACCAACCCGTCCCACGCAATGGTAGCGTCCGCCTAGGGTGGAGCACACCATTCAAAGGGGGGGGAGACTGAGTTTTGCATCAAAACAGAGACTTGCCTCTCGTTCCCAAAACTGTAATTCAGTAGTCGAGGAAGAAAAAAAGAAAAAGTAGAGGAGGGGGTTTTCAGCCTCCCTCCGCAAGTAATAGAAACCAGTCTCAAAGACATTTTCTCTCATTCTCCTTCACTTTCATCGGGGAAATTTGAGCTGCTCCAAAGACAGAAACCGGAAATGGTACTGCAAGTGGCAGAAATGTAAATGCAGAGCCAAACAATAACAGGGCTTCCTGGCCTCTCAGACCGGGGTAATCCTACAGGGCTTCGCGGGCAAATCTTTCGTTTAACATTTCCCACTTCCACGACTATTTAATCGGATCTTCTTCGTCTAGCGGAGCCCGGGGCCGGTTGGAAAAATTATTCCAGGAAGAACAAAGGTCCGGAAGTTATGGAACCTACTTTAGCAGTGTGGGCTCTCAGACCACCCCGAATAATCATTTCAGAATGTAGCCCGAGATTTCACCAGGGTACCATGGGGTCTAAAGTCGAGCCGGGAGTTCTAGATCCGAAAGTCTCAGACCGTCTAATTTAAGGATTCCTCACACTCGGTGCTGGGATGGGGATAGGAATGGGTGGGTGGGGAAGAACCCCTAAAGGCCAGCGGAAAGTTCCTCAGAGTTCCAGTCCCCTGCCCAGGTGTTTAGGTTTCAGTTAGTCTGTTTCCAATAACTTCATTATCTACACTCAGGCTTCCCCATCATTGCCGCTAGCCAAGCTTCTACTCCTCGCCCCAATCGCCAAGTCCCCAGTACCCAATTTCCAGCCCCCATGATTCTTCCTAGCTGAAAATAGAGCTCATGATTCAGAGGGCTCATCACACTTTGTCAAGAGCTTACCTGAACTTCAGGGGAGCGTATCACCACCCGGGGAAGCACCCTCCGAGGCCGGATGCCAGGTGACCCCGGAGGCTCAGGGGACACCTGTGTCCAGGACGGTGGCTTTGGACTTTTGAGCTCCAAACTTTTAGCGCCAGTCGGAGCACATGGGAGGGGAAAGCCCCAATCCCAGCAACCCCCGCGAGACTACTGGCACAAAGACGGACAGTGGCCATGACGAGTAAGGGCAAACGAGCGGTGAGCGAAGGCTACAAAAAGGAGAGTGGAAGAGTCAGGATTTTCGCGTATTGGCGCTGTAGTTACCGACATTTAGGGGTGGGGAAGTTAGACAAGCCAAAGTCGTGAGTACAGAATTGGTGGAAACCATTTTGGAAGACTCTTGCCATTGTGTCCAATATGAAGGTGGAAGGAAGAAAACCTTTGTATTTGCCGTTCCCTCTGCCTGGAACACTCCTCTCCGAGATAGTTGGATAGTTTTTTCTCAGCTAAAGTGTCACCTTTTAGGAAGGCCTTCATTAAGATCCCAATCTGCCCGGCCCGGCGTGGCTCAGCGGTTGAGCATCGACCTAGGATCCAGGAGATCGGGGTTCGATTCCCGGTCAGGGCACATGCCCGGGTTGTGGGTTGCAGCCGATCAGTGACTCTCTTGTCGCTGATGTTTCTAACTCTCTCTCTCCCTCTCCTTTCCTCTCTCTGAAATCAATAAAGAAAAAAAAAAAGTCCCAATCTAATGTATTTCCCCGAATACACCATCTTTTTTTTCTTCACAGCCCTTATCACTACCTGAAAATATTTGTTCCTTACCTTCAATACACAGCAACGTAAGCCTTAATCTACTATCTTAATCACAGTTGTATTTCCCAGTGCGTAGTACAGTAGTGGGAAGCAACTAAGAGCTCAGTAATAAATATGTATTGAATGAAGAGACAGAAGTCTGAGGAACTTGGCGAAAGAGATGCAAAAGTTCAGAGCCTGTAAAATCAAGCATGGCGCTGGCGCCCTCTGCAGGTGAGTTAAAAGGTGCTTTAAGACCGACCGCGGGAGCTCAGGCACTTCTCGCCCAGGCAGAAGCTTTCAGATTACAACTCCCAGTAGCCGCTAATAGTCCCACGGCTTGACCGGAACAGTAAACCACGACATATTACATCCTGGGCCTGCCCCTTCCGTGGGTCGCCCGGGAAATCTCATCCGAGATGCGGAGGTCCAATCGAAAGCTGAGCTCAGATCCCGCGAGAGCAGGTGGCGCGTAGAGACCATCCCGGCTAAGGGCCGCGGTGTTTTCAATATGGGTGTCCCAGCTCTCACTTTCTCTTTCCTGGGGTCTTCTGCCCCCTCCCGGAAGAAGAAGGGAGACACAGGTGGGTTTCTCTAGTCGGCTTCCCGGATCCTTGCGAACTTTGAAGCTGCCTAGGCCGCTCCACTGGCCAGGCAGCTTGCTGGTAGCCAGTGGGAAGAGGGCTGCCTGGCCGAGGCCAATGCCTGCCGCGCTTCTTGTGCAGTATGAAGACGTCCGAGGCGCCACCGTTAGCTCCCTACTGCATGTCTACAGACCAGGCCCCAGCTTCAGCCCGTCTCTCGCCTCGGGCTTCCCCAATGGATAAAAATACGGACCCAGAACTGATGCCACTGCAGCCCGAAGGGGATGATACGCCCCGCGTGTCCCCAGATCCCATGGCTGGCTCAGCTGTGTCCCAGGAGATGGAGGAGGGGGACCCAGCTTCTCTCTCCACTTCCCTGGAAATAGGGTTTTGCAC